TTCTCCCATGACTCTTCCTATGGTGGAACCTAACGGTTGACAATTTTAGTTTATTACTGAACTAAGATCATGAGCTCTAGTGCCATCATCAGGTCAACATTTCATTTGGTCCAATAAGTAGTTCTCAACTGTGTGTTGAGAACTAGTTAGCAAATGTTAGCATGTCAATATCGCTCTCCTAAGATGCTGAACATGGTTAACATTATACTTCAACACCTTAGCATTATCGCTGTGAGGACTTTAGCATGCTAACATTTGCATTTAGCTCAAAGCACAGCCTCACAGAGCAGCATGGCTTCAGAGGTTATGGCTGTATGTTGGATTGTACTCAATCAGAACTAGCTGGTAAGTGTTGCACCTCGTCAGAAATCTAAAGTGTGTCTAGCTGTTGTGGAAAGTGGATTTAAAAGCCAGCTGTAAGTCAGGAGACATGATGTCCTTTAAAATAGAGTAGTAATAGTAGAATAGTAAATAGTGCCACACATGTTTGAACAGAAAAAGAGAGATAGAGAGAGAAGTTCAATGCCTGGCTCCTATCTCACCTCCCCACAGGGAGGTCTACATCTCAGCTGACCTCACCTGGTCTAGAAACATCTCTTACCATGAGGGGAAGGCCCACGTCCAACAACAACTGGAAGAGCATAAACCATGGAGAATGAAGTCACAGAATGAAGAACGTCCTAGTCATCCAGGAGATGAAACAAAATTTTTGGTTCACTTTGACATTTACTCTGAATTTCATTAATGCAATGAATATATGTCATCTTATTAAACATACACACAATACATAAGAACACTGATGTGCCTGCTCTCCACTGTCAGCTTAGATCACAGAGCAGTCTGAATTTATTTTATGAACCTTTGACTCTGAGTCACTGAGTCTTTTATTCAGAGGGAGATGTAATAATTAGCCAACACTTCCTCTGAGACACAGTGGCACGGCTGCCTCACTCCACCCCTCTCTGTCATCCATGTATTGGGTTGCTAATGGCTTTTTACCCACTGATGTACGAGACAGCGGGAAGGGATGAGACATTAATATTTACCAGCCTTTAGGGGTTCAAGACAGAATGGATCAGACCATCTTCAATAAAACATGTCACCACCACAGCGACCACTCCCCTGTGGTCTGTCTCTACCTTTGTCATAACCACAACTAGATTTACAGTTGGAGTGTGTTGTATTAATCTTTGAGCTGGTTTTATGCATGTCGTCTATGTAAAGTGAGCATGGCAGGTTAATGGAATGGTGTAATCCACTTTATCCTGGGGTCCAGGGGATAAATCAATAGACTATTAACTTCTAATTGGGTTACGTTGTCATCTAAAACATCACTGTAAAAGTGTAAAAACCAGTGTGTGAAAGCTTTTACCTGTGCACCTGTTGTCATGCAGGCTTTCAGACGGTACAGGGATGGGTTAGAGTAGTGGATCTGTGCAGACAGATGAAAGTGTTCACCATTATCTAAATGTGATGTAGAGAGACCTTTGGTCCAGCTGGACATGGAGGCATTATCATTGATTTCTCTTGGAGAATAGGTGGGCAGATCATGTAAAGGTCCTTTGACGTCTGCAGTGAAATGCTGCACATGTTTTATCAGTCAGTGGTGGCCAGTGTACTTTTTTTATGCTGCAGTCTGCTGGGGAAACTGCATGTCTGACATGAACACAAAGAGACTGGACAAGCTGGTAAAAAAGGCTGGGTCTGTGCTTGGCAGGAGTCTGGACTTACTCAGGACTGTTGTAGAGAGACGCATGCAATGTAAGATGGAGATGGATCTATCTTGGACAATACCAACCATCCTCTCCACAACATTCTGGCAGGACAGAGAAGCAGCTACAGCTGCAGCAAACAGCGCACTGCGCTGCAGAACAGAGAGGTTCAGGAGATCCTTTGCTCCCACTGCCATCAGGCGATACAACACCTCAGCCAAAGGAAGTGGACTAATCTAATTATTATTGTTCATTTATTATTAACTGTTTTCATTATTATTATTATCAACAAGGAGCTAATGGACACATGAATTTCCCCTAGGGGCTAAATAAAATATCTATCTATCTATCTATCTATCTATCTATCTATCTATCTATCTATCGATCTATCTATCCTACAGTCGGGTTATTCTACAGTCTGGTCATTCTACAGGTTCTACAGTCAGTCAGTCAGTCAGTCAGTCCGTAGGTTGTTTCAGAGTCATTAGGTTCTGTAAATGTGGAACAATACAACAATGTGTTGACATAAAAAATTTACTTTTGAATTTTTAAAATCAAGTACTCCAGTACTTTAAGTCCAGTGATGGAACTGTGGACTCACCTCTGCTCTCACACCCCTTGTGTGCCAGTGCTCTTTTTAAAAACCCTATTGGAGCTCAGTTCTAGTTCTCAAACAAATTGGGGCTCCATAATTTGCTTGAGTGGCCTAAAATAAAATTAGAGGATTACTGGGAATTTGTAGGTAAGGAGAAGAAGTCAAAGAGAATTCCTTTCTGGTTTCTCCCTGAACCTGAGGTACATTTATCTTTGCTTAATCAGGTAGGTCATAGAAATCTTCCTTGTAGTCATGTTTGCAAATGTGTAAATCAATTTCAGAGAGGGTATTTGCACATTNCTATCTATCTATCTATCTATCTATCTATCTATCTATCTATCTATCTATCTATCTATCTATCTATCTATCTATCTATCTACCTATCTATCTACCTATCTATCTATCTATCTATCTATCTATCTATCTATCTATCTATCTATCTATCTATCTATCCTACAGTAGGGTTATTCTACAGTCTGGTCATTCTACAGGTTCTACAGTCAGTCAGTCAGTCAGTCAGTCCGTAGGTTGTTTCAGAGTCATTAGGTTCTGTAAATGTGGAACAATACAACAATGTGTTGACATAAAAAATTTACTTTTGAATTTTTAAAATCAAGTACTCCAGTACTTTAAGTCCAGTGATGGAACTGTGGACTCACCTCTGCTCTCACACCCCTTGTGTGCCAGTGCTCTTTTTAAAAACCCTATTGGAGCTCAGTTCTAGTTCTCAAACAAATTGGGGCTCCATAATTTGCTTGAGTGGCCTAAAATAAAATTAGAGGATTACTGGGAATTTGTAGGTAAGGAGAAGAAGTCAAAGAGAATTCCTTTCTGGTTTCTCCCTGAACCTGAGGTACATTTATCTTTGCTTAATCAGGTAGGTCATAGAAATCTTCCTTGTAGTCATGTTTGCAAATGTGTAAATCAATTTCAGAGAGGGTATTTGCACATTTTTGCTGATGGTTCTAAGGACCCAGCCAAAACTGCCATCTGTTCAGATTCCTCAGCTGCCTTGTTGGCTCTGAGGAGTGGTGCGGTGCATCAGGGGAATGCCCTGATTTTGTGTTGCTTATTCAGGATTGAGAATTTGGGCCGTCATGGAGGATTTCTGTGGATACCTGGTAGAGGTGTGATGGTCAGGGTTTGAATTACACTGTGGCATTTGGGGGAGCCCTATTTTCCGGAATGCACCACTACACATATCACATACACACGCATACTTATAAGTGTGCAGCAGAGCGGTCAATCATAGGGTTACATTCTACTATTACTACTGCTTCAGTGATGTGGAGTTAAGGTGGCTACGTAAATCTAGTTATTTTAGTGCAGCGCTGCCACGCATGGATGGCCACAGCAGTAGACACAGAATTGTGTTAATTAATGGAGACAGAAGATCAGGAAAATGTAATGTATTAAGAAAATAAACACACAACATTGACATATTTATATTATTGTTTTTTATTTCAGGAACCTTAATGTATGTAAAAATAAAAATATAATCTGTAACACAAAAGTAAACAATTTTTTAGATCTCCCCCTAACGTCTCAGGGAGGCTTTCAAGGGAGCTTGTCATTTTCAGGGGAGCTGAGCTCCCCTTATCTCGCCCGTAATTTGAACCATGGTAACGGTTCACATATTTGTGCTGTTGGTACAGGATGTCTGGTTTCATTCATATTGTGGCTCCAGTGGCTCACCTCATAGAGCGCGTACCATGAAGGTTAGTCCAACACGCAGCGGCCCAGGTTTGACTGACGCATGGCCCTTTGCTGCATTTCATCCCCTCTCTCTCTCCCCGACTCTCCTGTCACTTTCACTGTGGCTGTCATTAAAGGCAAAAAGAAAAGATCTGCTCTTTCTGCTGACAATGTGGACTCATTAATCTTTCTGAAAAAAACATGACGACAGAGAGAATGTATCAATAATTTTCTGCATGCTGCACTTTAAAAAAATGTTTATTTTATTATTTTACTAATTATTTGATAACCTTCTGAAGCACTTAAAGTCTTGTTAGTAGCAATATTATTAATGCCTGGATGTATGTGCCTTTATGTGCATTTCTTGTGCTTAAGAAACAAGTCATCCAATTTGAAATGATTTCCAAGTTTACAATTACATATTTGTTTACAAGTTAAATTCATGATAAATTAAAAGAAATGATGATGATGGCTGAGTAAACTTAACAGAGTATTTATTTTAACCCAAACCACTACCTCTCCCTAAACCTTACCAAGTTGTTTTTGTGCCTAAACCTAACCAAATTGTTACTACTGTGACAACATAAGACTTAGTTAGTCATGTATCAACAAAGACTGATCTGATAATCTGTGACACATCTCCAGTAAGAACATTCATTTGGGTTGTATCAGAGGGCAGTGACATTTATATTCCAACACCTGCCTGCTGATCTGAATCACGTCACTGTGGAGCAACATGTATCAACAACATGGCATAACAGCTGGTGAAAATATTAAATTGCTCACATGGACAAACCAGCTGTTAACACATGATGATGTTAACCAACACAGCAACTGATGCGGCTGCTTTATATCACCTCAACTATAATCAAGGTAAGAGAGAAAACACAAGTTTGATTTGTGTTTTTCTTTTTTCTTGGAAACTACAAATAAATGTTGAATCTGTTCATGAAAAAAAGTAAAAGTTAAGAGATGAACAGAGACGAGCAGTCAGGAGGTAGAGAAAAGGAGATAGCTTTACTATAAAGAAGGCGTCGCTAGCAGAAGTTGCAACATCTCATCATACACGCATACATGGTGAATATATTTATGCCACTTTCTGTTGAGTAGATGTACCTTACAAAAGCTGTTATTCTGCATGTTGAAGCAAGACTTTGCTGCTCTGATACACATGATAAAAACAAGATGCTAATATGAGAATTTGTTTAAAAAAAAGCCATACAGCATGTGATCAATCAGTTAAAAAATGTGCACTAGTAAAATTCTAGACTTTGCAGCATTTTGAAAATAATAAAAAAAAGAACAACACAAAGCTGTAAAACTGCACATTGAGATTTTCTTTTTCCCCGTGAAAGGTGAGTGGAGACGATGCAGACAGTAAAAACAGATGCTCGACTCTTAACACACCTCGAGTCAATGTGCACAAAGAAAAGGACAAGAAAAAAAGCACTGTGTATCAGCAAATATGCATAATCCTCTTTTCTTTGTAATATAGCCAGTTTACAACATTTCCCCACTGTGATACACCCGGGGGACGAAGACAAGGCCATGAGGGAGGAGGAGGAGAGTGCAGGTGTCCAGACCAGATTTTGAAGAAAACCATTCCAATGAGTCCAGAAAGAAAGTTCAAACCCAATAATCTCTGAGTGCTTTCACTCACTGTTTTCTTCCACTTCAGCACCATGCTCCTCTTTTTCAAGATGCTCAGATTAACAACCCCAGTGCTCAAACCGAGGTCAGAGTGAACACACTGTGGCTCACAGAGACATCCAAGGACACGTCCTCAGTGATGCTCCTGAACTCATCAGGTGTTTCAGGTCTTTCTTCATCACACACCCTCACTCAGGCTACCCAACCGCCTGAGCGGGGGTGTGTGACATGAAAACACTGCAAGACAACAGCATCAGAGAAAAAACATGAAAACACAGAGGATATTGCCTTGAGGTTCTGCAGCGAGACAGACAGGGACATGAGCTTCTAAGAGAAAGAATAAATGACACAAAGGTTGGGTTTTGGAGAATCAGGTGTCTCTTTGTTTTGGAAGGGGGAACTGTTTTCAAAATGGCTGCCTGTCACTGAGTCACTGTGTTCCACTTTAGGGTGCCTCTTTGCAGTTTGAAAATGTCATAATGGATCCACAAGGTCTTTCTAATTCAGACTCTTCCAAATGAGCCAAGAATCGCAGCCTCCTCTGTCCCAAAACTGGGCAACTGTTTGAGTCACATGATTAACTGGTAATGCATTCAGGTGATGTCAACTTGTATTGCTTCTATCCCTTTTCTACTGACGCAACGTAGCACTTAGCCATTGTCATAACTTCTGCTTTGTTTCCTGCTTTAGTTTTGTTCTCCAGTCAGTTCCTGGAGCTAAGTTTAGGTTCTGGGGGTCTCAGGTATTGTTCAGAGGTGGGCAGCACTGATGTTGATCGATCATGATTGGTAACGCAGATGTGTTTTCACATCACAACAAGGGTTACCAAAGCAAGCTAGCATTCAGCAGAAAAGGGGATGTAGATCACCAAACAATGCAGAGACAAAGATGAACCAAGATGACTAATAAGATTAAGTGCACAAAGGCATAAATGGAAAAACTACCAACTGGTTTGATACCACTTTGGGCCACAAGTCCAATCAGCTCAACTACCTACTGGTCAAGGTCTAGAACCAGCACCTCACAAGGTTCTCAAAGGTTGAAGTTATGGGAAGATTTTTAAGGCCCAGCAGTGACAAGGTTACAGTATTTCATTTGAGGGTATCTTCCTGGCGGTAATCTTGGAAATGTGAATTTTACAAGTTGGAACTAACCTTACCTATCTGTAAGTTTTCTCTGGTTTCTTGTTAGGAGCAGGTGGCGGTGATGGCCTCCAAACAAGAGCTTCAGCCATTGTTGTCTTTATAATACAAGAGGTTACAATACATCCTCTGACCAGCTACTTCTTCAGGACACACTGGAGGCTACAGTGAGTCACTATCAGAAAGTTATGAGACGGGCTACCTGTTAGCATGCCAACTTCAGTTGAAGAAAAGACATGATAGAGACCCGAGGTAACACTGGTGTTTTTTTCCACCTCTGTAGACAGCTGTTGACTAGTAAAGGAATGGAGTTTGATGGTAAACTTACAACGTTTCTTCTAGACTGAGTAAACAGCTGTTAATGCTAACATTAGCTATGTAGCAATTGCAAAACTTACATATAGCACCTTTAAATACAGCATTAAGGGACGTGGACGGGGCAGCAGAGAGGACAGTAGACATGCACACACTTCTGTTTACAGTATACAGGGTTCCTGCATGGGTGGACATGTTCCCACGTGCGTCGGCGTGCATGGTCTGAATAAAGTTCAGGTGACTAAACTGACATCACGTGGACGCTCTCGGGTACTAATGCTAATCTCAGCTTGTGGCTTTTAGGCTGTGTGAGGCATGACGGTCTCAACCTTTATTCTTCTGAGGTGACACCTGAAATGGGACACAGCTACGCAACAATAAGCATGTTAGGTGAAAGGCAATATGGGAAGTGAGAGTAGATGCAGTCTCAGGAAGAGCAGTGTATGGAGGTTTATATGTTCCAATACCTCAGCGAATGCATGTGTTTTAGGCCTACTAGCAGTCTGAGTGTGACAAATGCTACAAATGGGATACTGCAGGACTTATTTACATCAATATAACATATTCTTCTTCTTCACAATATAGAATCCAAGCCATCATTAAGAAAGTGACTGCAGTCACTACCATATATTACAATGTCAAAGCAAAGGGCAACACAGAGTGAAGGATGATTTTTGTAACTTGTGCAGAGTGCAAATGTTAGTCAAAACTACATCACAGAGGTGCACGACAGATTCAGGATGCACTTGTTGCTTGGTAGATGCTAATTTCTAAATCTTTGTTTTCTTTTTTAATAAAGCATTTTTTAAGGGCTGAAATCAACTATGAAATATTTACAAAGATAAGAGACCTACATGTACAGAATATATGCCAAATAAATAATCATAAGCAACAATATTAATTTTCTATGTGGTGGAAATGTTAGGTTATATAAATCTGAAGAACAACACGGAGCAACAGTAACACAACATGAGCATGAGAAGAGCAGCACAATGGACAGAGAGACATGTGAGACAGGTGTTTTCTTTTTGTTTTGTTCAAAACAGGAAATCCAGCTGCTACAGAAACATCTGGAACATGCTGCTGTGTTGAACCCCTCTTGTGGTGAGCAGGAACAAATTCTTTATGTTGGCTATTTCCTGATGTGAAACAACAGAACGTGTATATGATAATCATTGAATAAAGAACTAATTAATATATTAATACTATCCACATAATGTAATAAATAGAAATATAAAATAAATATTTGAAATACAATGTGTTGCTAACTGCAGTTCATATCTATGTGATTTAGCATTGAAGGGTTTAATAAGTAGCTACAGGCCAACAGACCAATGAGCCAATTAGTGACTGTCAGTCCATCAGTCTGCAGAGAGAGCGACTACATGACACACATGACAGGTGAGCTCACACACGTCTTCAGACTTCTTCTGCCACTCAAACATTTTTCTTTTTTCTATCTTCCTCTGCAAAAAATAAAAAATAAAGCTTCATCTCAAAGCTGGCTGTGAGTTTAATGTCTATATTTTCATGCTGTAAATATTGTCATTTTTAAAGTATTCTACACAGCCTTAATGCAGTCTTTTTTTTCTTTTGTAATGCTCAACAAATCAATTGGGTTTATATAAAAATCAAGAAGGAAGGAACAAGGTGCAGACCCCTCTGCTAGCTCACAGCTAACGTCTGTAGCGCCGGCTGTTTGGGACGAAAAAACACAGACTGTAATAACAATCCAGTTGCTGAATTTGTGTGCATAACACAATGCAGGAAATTTAGTCTGAAAGCACCTCAAGGATCCCAGCTTCTCATGCTGCATTCATGTCCCACTGGAGAGGCCATAGCCCAACACCTCAGCCCACAGGAGCTAACAGCTTACTGGGAGCTCTGGGGTTTGTAAATACATGTAGGTTGGTGTAGAAAAATATCTTAACTTTTTCAATCGTAATTAGTCATTATTTAGTTTGGTTTTGGTATAAAACTCTTAATTTTCCCAAGTGACATGAATGCAGCATTAGCCTGCAAGCTAACTAGGATTCACTGGGTCGTGGTCTGCTGCTGTTTCACAAGCTAAACTAACTTTCCTCTCCGCTGCCTCAGACACGACCATGATGGGATCCACTGACAACAGACTGTAGCAGCGTCTGCTGCTGGCGGTAGACGTGGCCTTTATCGTGGCAGCCATTTTGATCATCTGCACTACAACATTGGATTAGAGGTAACATGTCTACCACATTGTACAAGGCAAAGTGAGTGAAAGCGTGAGTTCAGCCTGCAGGTGGTAAAAAAAGGAAGTGAAAATGACCTTTTACTAACCAGATTAAACCGTGAAGGTACAGAGGAGGTGATAGTGCATAGTTTCGCAGGGCACCAATATGTGTGCCAGGTCTGTACACAGCATTCATTAGGATTCAATGACTCGTCTACCAGCTGTGGAGAAACTAAAATCTTTCACTGTGTAAATATCAATATGATAAACATATCTGCCAGCATCCTGTTGAGATCGATGGTTAGAAGCTGATATGTTACAGTATGGGGTGAGTGTGTGTGAGTGTGTGTGTGAGTGTGTGTGTGTGTGTGTGTGTGTGTGTGTGTGTGTGTGTGTGTGTGTGTGTATGAGGGGTGTATCAGGGAGGAGAGCAGTGACACTGAAAACGTTAGGAGCAGAAATGAACCAAAGGAAAATCTCAAACGATGCTTGATGCCTCTAGATGCTGAACGCCGCCCAGAAGGCACACTCCGAGTCTGTGTGGGTGACGGGCCGGCAGAGCAGAGATAAACAAGCACTGTCCACTGTGTCCAATTGCCCTCATATGGGCCATCCTCTCAGAGCTGGAAACGTAAAGTAAAGGCTTGTGGTCTGGTTCCACTTCCTGCAGAGGAAAGTCTGTACAGTCTCCACACAGACCCTGCTGCACTTCCTGTTTACCGTGTTTCATATAGTACTATATTCATGTGTGTGTGTGTATGTGTGTGTGTGGTGTGTGGTGCTGTGGTGTGTCGAATCGCCCTTGAACCAAAGGGATGGGGGGTGGGGGTGGCTGCCCTGTCCCCCATGTGCTGCTGATGGGCTATGCCAGCGAGTAGATGGCGTTGACGGGTGAGGTGGCCTCGGAGCTCTCGTTGCCCTCCGTCTCATCCTTGTCCTTCTTCACCGTGTACTGGCCGATGAAGGAGCCGTCCTCGTTGAACTGGCCATCGCCGCCCTCGCCGTAGTCTACCAGGCTGTCGTCGCTTTCCTTCACGTTGCCGTCCAGTGAGGTCTGGCTGCCCTGCAGAGGCTTGTTGTCCTCGTCGCTGCTACAGGGGTAGATGAAGAAGAGGGTCAAAGGTCAGAATGGGAGCAGTGTGTTGTCACAGTGTGTTGTCACGGTGTGAGCAGGAGTTCAGGAGCCTGTCACAGGCTCAGGTTAAAAGGGGAAGGTGGAAGGTTAAAGGGACTGCGGAAGAATAACAAGAAGTCTCTGTCTCAGCTTTTCTATCCACGACGAAGTGACTTTCCAGATGTAAAGGACAGTTTGAATATTTTCAGGTCTACATTGATACAGTACTTACACACTATGTCATTAGGACGCGTTCTGATTCCTCTTAACTGACCTGAACCTGAAGCCATTTCACTTTAGTGATGGGAACATGGCTCCGTGGAAAAAACAGAAATCTGCATGTAGAGTTAGAGTCTAGTGCACAGGTGACTAAGAGGTGGTCCACAGTCTGGATCCAGACCCACATCCTGTCTTATCTGAACCCAGAGCTATAACCTATAAATTATTGAGGAATTGTTATTATTATTGAATTTTAAAGGAGCATTTTTGTTTCAACTAGCGCCGATTCTTTTATCTTTTAAGGCACTGGTCATAGAGAAACACGTGGGGCAGTGGGATACAAGAGGGAAAGGAGGTGATAAAGCTGTTTAATTGTTTTGTTATAAAATCTTCTCAAATGTGAAATGGAGAAAATAAGAAAAGGGGAAACTCAAGCTACACATTTTAGGCCTATTTCATTTTTTATAAAATGAAGCAGTAAAATTTAAAGAAGTACATTTTTAAGAAGCTGTCTGTTGCTCTTATTGTCCTTGAAATGAGAAAAGACCTGTGAAAAGCAACAGGTCTATATCTCAACATAACCGGTGGTTTTACAGAAAGTTGGTATAGTTTTATGAAATTCGAAAAAAAAAAATGTTTTGGATAGATAGATAGTTAGATAGATAGATAGATAGATAGATAGATAGATAGATAGATAGATAGATAGATAGATAGATAGATAGATAGATAGATAGATAGATAGATAGATAGATAGATAGATAGATAGATAGATAGATAGATAGATAGATAGATCTTTTTCTAAATAAACGTTATGTAGGATGTGAACTCTGGTCTCTGGTGTCTTGGTCCTGGACTGGAAACACAGCTGTAGTGAAAACAGTCGGTGCAGAAATTACATTTCCTAAAACATATTTGGCAAAGCAGCTAAATAAGGCGACAGATGGGTGGGGGTGGGGGTAAGGATAAATAATGTCTTGAAGACATTTGCATACACATGCTGAGTGGGGGCCATATTCTGACTTGAGATCTTAGTCTGAGAACTCCGCTGGATCTCATCAGTGGAGTTGAGCTTGGTCTCAGTTCAGAGCATGGCTACATGTCACCTGACTCTGGTCTCAGGGGGAAGAAGTTCATGCACAGGGACAGAGAGCTCTAGACTAGCATGAGCTTCCTCGTGTCAGACCAAGCCGGCAGCATCACAGAGGAAAATGCATTTGACGGATGCAAGACTGAAGTATTTATCTGTGTATGTCTTTCTCTTCTCTGCTCATATCAGTGCATTACAGGTGATCGCACATGGTAGAGTCAGAGGCCCTGGAGAGGACAGACTCTGTACTGCAGCTTCTCACACTCATCATGCTCCATGCTGAACCACACACAGTCCAGAAACCACACGTTCATCATCAAGAGTATCAAGAATCATCAAGAGTTCAATCATCAAGAGTATTAAGAATCATCAAGAGTTCAATCATCAAGAGTACAAAAAGACCAAAACAGATGCAGCAAATCCAGCTCAGACAGAACAGAGGGTCCAGTATGTATTTCATCTATCTGTCAGACAGTGAGACAAGCTTCAGAGACATACACTGACATGTGATGAAAAGATGTTCCACATATATATGAAGCTTGTAAGAGCTGAACAGGAAATGGATGAATGTGAGAGAAAGGTTGTGATCCTGAGAGAGAATCAGGTTCACCATCAGACCATGACTCAGTCAGTGGTTGCATTTTAAACTAAATGATGACTGTGTTTTAAACTGCAGCCCTTCTTAACAACAGTGGTAGTGAAAGTCATCAGAGCAGTTATCATATTTCACTGTCTGTCTCGTCTCCAGAAGGAAAAGACGTGATTGGTTTAACTGGGAGCTGGTGACTCACCAGAGTGTCAGAGTGTCACCCACTGAACTGCTTTGGCTTCGTGCTCACTGTTTGTCCATTTACTTCTACTGGGATCAAACCACAGCCAGATAGTTTCAGTTTTACTATCACTGGTTTTAAGATACTGCCTTCTCCACAAGTCAGTGGAGATGAATGTTAACTATTATTATTATTATTATTATTATTATTATTATATTATTACTTGTCTTCATACATGGTCCAAACAAGGTGGGGTAAATTCCTACAACATTTATCTAAAGTAAATACCCCCCTCACCAGCAGAATGACAGCTTGGTGCTTTGTTCTGATGACTGTTGTTTCTCAAAAAGTAAAATATGATTTCTTTTAACCATGACCAAGTTATTCTTTAAAAACGTGTGCAGCTTCCCCACTTGAATGAGGTTGATGCATCTACGTGAAGGCTCAGTGACCAAACAGCTTCTCCCTTCTCCTTCTTTTATTTTGGGAGGTTCAGCAATTTAGTTTGATAGTTGAGTTGAGTTCAGTAGTGTCTTAGACGTATCGTTCACTGAACAGCGTCTCCTTCTTCTTCTAGTATTTTTATTGTAGTGTTGTTCACTTCCTTTTTCAGTGATGCTGCGTCAGTCTGCTCCCTGAATATCCTGTCAGTCAGTGAGTTCCTGTCATTTTTTATTTATTTATAATCATGTTTGTTTGTTTATTTATGTATTTATTGTAAGAAGTTATTACTTATTTATATTTGTTACTTTCCCTCCAGGTACTTGAGCCAATCAATGTGGAACTCTAGTTTGACTTGAACCTCACCCACAGAGGTGGTCATCTAGAGGAGGCTCTAATTCATCTTCAACCCTGACAAAAATACTGTCCTGTTGATACATGCACTGTACAGTTTATTGGCTTGTTGGGGTAAAGCTCCTCAGTGTGCTGGTGCACAGAGAAAACACTGTCATACATGTAGTTGTAAAGCCAGAGCAGTAAGCTGAGGCCTGTGGGTTCAGGTGTGGAGGAGCAGTCAGGTGAGCCACAGGTCACACGTGTCTTTGTGAATGGATATTCTTTGAGTGAATCAGAAGGACATCGCTCTGTGCACCACTGCTACATTACATCTCCTACAGCTAATTAAATAAATGTGTTAGAGAAGCAGAGCCCAGCTGCAGTCAGAGGGTCTTTTATTCCAGCCACTCAAAATGTCTTCTGAATGAAAGAGGGCAGAGCCAGGGAGGATTTAATGATCTGATCAGCTGATGTTTTTGAGTGGAGGAGCAGAGGTGGAGGAAGTAAGTGAGAGGACCTGAACCTGACACTGTACAGGCAGGAAGTTGTTCTGTGTTGTTGTGTTAATGGATTACAATGCGCTGCAGATGAGCAGTAGACAAGCAGCAGGATTAGAGGGACTGTGAAGATGATGATGATGAGGGAGACTATTCATCGTTCATACCTTTCCAGAGACCTTTTGACCAATGAGGAAAATAAATCCAAACGGAGACAGAGACACAGACATGAGGCGGGGGTGGGTAGAACAGAAAGACAGTCATGAAACAGACAGACAACAGACATGCTAAACAAACAGACAGTGCAGAGGAGGTCTGACAGTGTTGATGCAGGGAGATGAGGAACATTAACATTCATTTATCTCTGCTGAGGGTGGAGGTAGAGACATTTCAATCACCATAACCCTAAAAACATGAAACACATGAAGTAGCACTTTGATCAGTTATAACAACAGTGACATCACCAGCTGCTGAGACACTGTAGCTGTGTCTCAGTTCAGGGGTCTCATCCGTCCAAGACCGACTGCGTCACAGCGGAGCGACTGGGTAATGTGTCCTTCTTTTCCTCTACAAAGAAGGCTCCAACAGTTTGATGCTTCATGGTCAAACCTATCCTAAGATTCACTGTGCGCCGGTTAGGAAATTAATATGGCAGCAAACAACACTGACAGAGAGCCTGAGGATTACACTGGTTAATGTAAGTATTGTGTTTCAGCTCAGTTCAACAGCTAACGATATAACTGTTAAAACCAAAGGCCTTAAAACCTCAAGGTTTTGTAAAAAAAGTTACGCATTGTCAAGGTTGCTATAGGCAACAGGAGCCGCGCTTTGTGATGCAATGGTAAGGGCGGGAACAGCTGGTGACTCAAAGTGACCGGACTGTCTCATTTCAGTACGGCCTTCGCGGTCTGAAACATTTAGAGCGTCCTCTGAAGGATGTGGCCCCTGGACTGGGATACAGCTTGGGTGTCACATGTTTGATGGAGCAGGAAACAGGAGCAGTCAGACAGTCAGACAGGTTACAACAGCCCAGTGTCCTAACTGCTGCAGACTGGACCATTACCACCGTCATTACACAGGAGAACTATGGTCACAGATCTATAGGAAGTGGGGCTGTGAACTGTGAAGAACACTTTGTATCACAATTTCATCTTTGTTTTCTCTTCTATTTAAACCTATGAGTGTCTGAGTGCTTATGCTTCTTGACCCATCTGACCTTTTTAAAGCAGCACTGCCTCATTCTCAGAGCTCAGCTGTTAACCTGGTTTTACAACACGGATGGCAAACGATGGAAATAAAGACCCAAACTGTAATAACATGGATTTATCCTTTAAAATCCCATGCAGTAAAACTGTGTTCATTATACAGAGTTAATGAAGTTCTGAAACTAAACTATGAACAATCCTGCTGGAAGAAGACAAAACAAGCTGGAGAAAACAGGAGGTGCTTTAACTTTGAAGTGCTGTTCAGAGACTGAAGGTCAAAGCATCTTTGTCTGGATCTGTGAAGTGTTTGTTCTGTCTCATGTCCTCCAAATGTTCTCCAGTTGTTTGTTGCCTGAATCAATTCCTTCAGGGTGTCAAAGTGTCCACCCCCCCAACTACACTAAAAATCCAAATTGATTTCCCTCGCCATCTCTGGCACCATGTACCTGGCGGTGGATGCTTTTTAAATGTCAGCCAACGGAGGGAAAACAATGCAATTAACCTCAAGGAGAGTGAAAAACATGTTGATGCCTGAGTGGGAACAGGACGGGGTGAGACACCCCACACAATGGAGCTGGAACAGTTGATCCATGAGGACAGAGGCTTCTTTGCTTTTATATTTAAGGGGGAGTTTGAGACGAGTTTCATAGGGTAACACATACTCAGCACAGTCATATTACATTCAGATCAGTGGAGCTGACTAATTACTGCTATCAGATAGTAAGCAGCTTCACTATAAAAGAATAAATGAAACTGTCTACTCTGTGGCTGGTGGCCATGGACTGTGTTTTACCTGAAGACTGAATGATAATGTGAGTCTCTACATGTGACTGAACCAAGACTGTGAGAAACCAGAGGAGAGGGATTTTATATTGAGCCCTGAACCTTTATAAAGGCCTGAACCAACTGTGCAGCTAATTTCCCTTCACCTTCCCCTGCTGTGAATTACTGAATATTCATGTTATATGTGATGAACAGTTCCTATATAAAAACAGAATGTTTACCAGCAGATATTAATCTGTTATTATAGGCCACAGTATGTATGCAGTATGACTCAGTTTATTTAACGTCACACTGATTCCGGACAAGACCACCAGGCTTTTTAAGTAATGGTTCAAAAATATTCTTCACAACAGTGAGATGAGAATATCAACATCAAACTGATGATAAGTTTAGCCTTGTATCATGATTGGAAGCAGGAAGAAAACATATAACAATAAGGAAAAAGGCCTACAAATAAATCTGAAGCTGGCTGAATCAGCTGTTGTGTACGCTGGCCCTGAGAGCTCAACACACTACACCTTCAGAAAACACATGCAAACAGACACAACATAAACTAACTCAGAAAACATCTTCATTAACACCTGAGTTGCGAACACTAACAACACAACAGAGGTGTTTCCAGGGCACACTAAAAAGTGATTAACCAGGCTGGGACGCACTTGCATGGATGTATTATAACACATGTATCATAATACATCCATACGCACTTGTTTAATGTTTTCAACTTCAAAAGTCACAGTTGGGCATTGAACAAGTCCTAGCCAGGTGACCTGTTGGTTCACATTGGTTTAGACTACGATCATCTTCTAACAGTTGTGTCCTCACTGTTAGACTCATACACTTCATAAACGCTCACAGTGACTTGACCAACCAATGAATGACTTGCGTTGTTATCTCTGGGTTTAAACCACACAGTTATTTGAATTAAATGTCTTTTGGGAAACTAGTTTCAAACGCTGACTAATGCATAGCTCTTTGCTTTACTGCATTCTGGTTTCATGATGGTCACACGCATCACTTGGATGTCATGTGACCATCCTGACACCAGAGCACTCTGGGGCTGGGGAGCCTTCACCTTGTTGTCTGGAGATCAGGTTGTTGAAACTGAGATAACCTGGTTCCTGGTGATTATTCAGCCTGCAGTTTGACACCCTTCAGGAGCTGACACCTGGCACTCAGCTGCTTTCTGTCCATACCTCTGTCAATCACATCTCATAGCTATGATGTTATGATGATGTCACCTGTCTATCATATTGTTCAAATGGTGCTTTAAAAGCTGAAGCAGGCCAGCTACACTAATATCATTGACATGATGAATGAAAACTGTTCATTCTCTGTACACTGACCAAACAGCCAACAATGCAGGCTTGATTGTTCCTGTGATCCCCCCCCCCCCCCCCCCCCCCCCCCCCACAAACAAGCTACACCTCATCCACACCCTTCTCTCCCCAGCTCAGGGGAAACATCTGCTCCATCTGACATGCGCAGGCTAAGCGAGGTGCCGTGCCGAAACCAAAGTACCTGTGTTCGTTCTCATTCCTGTCAGGGACAGATGACCCATTTCAGCGTGGGGGAAAGAGAGGGACGAGATGTGAGGAAACAGGGGAGACAGCAGGAGAGAGGAAGAAGAAGGAGGACAGAGAAGCGCAACATGATACATGCACAAATACACACACACACACACACACACACACACACACACACACACACAGAGCTGAGTGCAGGTGATGGATTTGTACCAGAGTCTGGCTCAGTGACCTTGACTGTGAGAGATGGGCTGGGTGTTAATGTTAGACTCATTATTGATTAATAAACAAAAGAGGATCTCACACACTGGAGATGGATGAATCACAGTGTTAAGCACAAACAGCACAGCACCACTCCTGAGATAATCTATCTGCTGAATCCTCATGCCCTCAGAGGCACAAAGTCTCACTTCATACAGAGCAGAGCTACATAATCATAATATATCATATGTACGTATATATTGTATGTGTATAATATGTAGACATTCACAGTGTACTGCTGTCTTTTCATCAGTAGGATCCCAGGTTAGAAACCTAAAAGCCTTGTGTCACTCTCACACACAGTTAGAACATATAGAGATTTAGGAAGCATGTTAAACAGTTAAATTGTCTTTAGTCAGAGTGGACAAACAGAGAAAATGACTCATTCTCCAAAAAGAGGAATGTGGCCACAGAGATCAGTTGGACCTGGAAGGAGCAAAAGACACATCACTCACCAACTGCAGTATCTACAGCGTACACATAACATCGTCACATTACAGACAGAATAGTCTCCATGTTTTTATATTATTCAAGTCCACTGCACTGCACAGTATGTAACTACTTCTGTTATGTGAACATTTCTACAGATTTATATATGAAAACACATTCAAGTGTCAGACACAGTGCTATTGTTGAGATCATAGTTAAGATGTTGGATAAACTGTTTAGGGCTGTGTTTGGATTGTTCATTTGTTCACTCACTATATAGTGTTTGCTGTGTAGAGGACTCATTAGAGCAGTGGTTCCCAACCTTCTCCCCCTCAAGATCACTTAAAAATCACAGATATGTTGGCGGCCCACATTCGATCCCATAACAATATGGTGGCCAAATAATGCCTTCTCAGAGCACTTTTTATTTTAATGATAATATTGATTCTTTCCTTTTAACTTTCTGTCTTTTCTGTTGCTAACCAGCTATCCATTTTGATGCCCCAGTTTTTGCAGTGGATGTGATCTGTTAATGAACAATCAGACTGAGATAGCAAACAAGTACATGGTCTGGCAGCAAACGTAAAAAATAAAAACAATGTTTTTAAACAGAATGATCTTTAAAAATATTAAAAATGTTCATTTTCCACACATCCATTTTTATTTCTCTCAGTGTTAACAGTCATCCCTGTCTTCTGTTGCCTACTGGCTGTTATCACTGACAAATCTGTCTCTGTTGTCAGATCACAGAGTATATCAGCTGACTGCAGGTGATACACGCTACCTGCTAACTGGGGCTAACAGTATTTCCTGGGTCATCATTAAAGCATTAAATGACAGGCGTGTCAAAGATGACACCTCTGACTTTTCACAGGTTCAGTCCATGAACTGGTTTTTGTGAAATCCTGAGCCATATCAGTGGTGGGAGGAGTCCTGTTCATTATATTTCATTACCACCTGTAGGACTAATCGACTGTCTCATCTGATCTGAGTTTCTCCTCCTTTCCTGCACAACCTGCTGCTAAATCAATAACAAACAGTCTCATATCTGCTACAATAACTAGAGGATGCTGGGAAATGACCCTAAACCATTTACCACAGGTTCCAAATATTCCCTCGACCACTTAACACTTTGAAATGAACTTTATACTGTTTCAGAAACACAGATGATGTCATTGGTGTGGCTGTGAAGTAGATGGTGAGCGGTCTGTTTGATTATACTTACTGGTAATCAAAGGAGCCGTCCTGGTCTTTCTGGTCCACGGGGTCTAAGGGGAGATCTTTTTTGTCACGCACTGAAGAGACAAGAACAGACAGCTCAGTTTTCAGCTGTTGTCATGATACAGACAAACATCCACACATCAAGGAGTTCCTGGAGTTAGTCTGACCACACTTCACTCTTCATTAATCAAACTGTTAACGTACACTGTGTCCCAGCTCCATACTTATCCACTAACACTGTATCATATCAGTGCACTACTGTGGCACATTGTGCACAAGACATTAATCCACTCTGTCACACTGAGATGACAAGATACTCAGCTGCTGCCAATTTAACACTCCAGACTACAAACTTGTTTCTATTCATTTATGATTCGTCTTACTGTTATCCCAGATATTCATGTATACTGTAGCATGTAAACTCTAGTATGTAAAATGTAGCATGTAAACTGTAGCATGTAAACTGTAGCATGTAAACTGTAGTATGTAAGCTGTAGCATTTAAACTGTAGCATGTAAACTGTAGCATGTAAACTGTAGTATGTAAGCTGTAGCATGTAAACTGTAGCATGTAAACTGTAGTATGTAAACTGTAGCATGTAAACTGTAGCATTTAAACTGTAGCATTTAAACTGTAGCATGTAAACTGTAGCATTTAAACTGTAGCATGTAAACTGTAGCATTTAAACTGTAGCATGTAAATTGTAGCATTAAACAAAGTAAACTTTTTCAGAGACTTGTTTTAGTTCAGTTGTTTAACATTGGGTTGGATTTGATGGGGTCGTTATTATTAGCACTGTCAAAATAAAGTGTTAATTTCGATTAATTAATTATAGAAAAATAACAAAAATTGATTAATGATGAATCACACTTTGTGATGGCCCCTGACACCAGATGGGATGTGTACACTTCTGTGAGGAACATCATCGACCTATGTCTGGTCTCTAACTGAATGATCAGACCGAAAATGGCGAGAATGTCAAAGTGACAGGAAGTCATTAATTTTCTATGTGAGCCAGCATCTCTTGGCGGCAAGCAGCTGCATGCCTGTTGGTGGCGCGTCTTAGAAAAAGTTGGAAGGCCAATCAATTTTATGGGAATGAGCTATGACACGGTTTGGTGGCAACCAATCGAAATATAGAAGTTTTTTTGGGCCATTTAAATAAAATATGAAACAGCAAGCATTCCAAGCACGCTAGCTAACTGCATCTATTTTATCAATTTCATTTGTGTCAGAGGGCCATGAACTGCACCAGCATCCTTGATAAGGCAGACAGCAAATTCTTTCACTCTCGCCGCTTTCGGTCTGAATGTAAAGTAAGTACTCGCTCTTGCTCTCCCTTGGCTCTTTGGAGCCCAACTATTGATTCACTTTTCAAAATAAAAGATCCCTCAGACACTCCTCTACATCTACAGTCCCCAACTTCTAATGAGGACAGACAAGGAGTGAGTAGTTGATCAGGTGACGGCAAAGACGTTCTCTGTGTGACAGGGAAGGCTCATATAGTTTACATGGCTGAGATATTGTGACATTTGACATATTGACATTTGTGGGGAAGCAACAGTAAATCTGTTGACTCTACTGAAGACTTGAAAACATGAAACACAAAGCATGAACTCATCTTTACACTTGTAGATTTATCACAACAATTTTAGATTAATTCATTAATCAATCAATCACAAAACATGTTATTAATTAGATTAATTCTTAAATCCTTATCAGACGTAGTTGATCACTGGGTGTTAGTTGTTCCACAGTTCACCACCTACCGAAACACTTTGTGAACCCAGTCACACAGCCTCCACCTACACATCATAGAAACTGTAAAACATTAAAATGACTCTAACTTAAATAATCACAGATTGTGGATCAGGACCAAAGCACACATACAATATGTCTTTACAATTAGAGACTACAACCTGGACGTCATATTTTACAATAACTGCCAGGTGTTCAAGAGTCTCAATCACTTCCTGTTTACTTCTGAATAGCTGATTAAATGCAGTGGGATATTTAAGTCCTGATCACTATAACAGAACAAACAGCCAAAACAGGTAATTTTTCACAGGCATCAAAGCCCCAAAGTTGGGCCTTACCTGGGTATTTGCCGCCCCGGCTCCTCTTGATGAAGCAGACGATGAGGAGGATCAGTATGATGAGGGCGATGGCACACATCAAGCCAATGAACCAGCCCTGAGTGGCTATGTCTACCTGGTCTATGTAGGCTGGAGACACACACACACACACACACACACACACACACACACACACACACACACACACACACAGTCAATAACTAAGAACCAGCGTCTTGTTATATCCAGGCCGATGCTGTACAAAGATCTCATCCATAACAAGGAGGCATTGTTCTTCTTCTCCATCACACAGCGCGAGAGTGGGAGGGAGGACTAGGGTTTGAGAAGGGAAATTGACAATTGCGTTCATTACACCTGGAAAAGTTTCAGTACAACTTGAAACAACACAACTGACAGCTGCCAGACATGTTACAGACAATCAGCACTGAACCTGAGCAAGACAAAGACATAAATATTTACAGCAACAATTTGTAATATTAGATTAAACTGTAGAGTTTAGTCGAGGCTGTAGTTCCAGTTATACAAGGTTTCATATGTCAGACCAGATAAAGCCAGTTAATGATGCCTAGGGTTGGGTATCGAACTTCTACTTCGTCTTTTATGGACCGACCGAATTGGTTTGATGCTATCAAGGATCTATGTCTTGTCATTTGATACCTCAGGAGTAAATGAGTAAATCTCATCAGCCTCATGAGCCAATCAGCATGCAGCATGCTTGAACCAAGATCTAATAACTCTTGTGATTGACTGTTTATTTACACCAACACATCTAAGTGTGTAAAGAGACTCAGCTTAAAAATAAAACTAAAGTTAAACTAAAATTTGTACCATAATGTGTGCTGTAATTTTCTTGTTGAAATGGATTTGATAAAATTAGTTTTAAAAAAAAGTTTACTGTTAAAGGATAGCCTACTTGCGAGACAAGAGCGTATAATATGTACCCTGAGCAGCTGCGTGTATGGCTGTGAATCGGTCAGGGGCTAGCTGGTTAGCATGCTAACTTTCCACCTCTGGAGACAGCTGTTGGTGAGTAAAGGAATGAAGTTTAATGCTGAACTCACAACATTTCTTCTAGACTGGTAAGTAAACAGCTGCTAATGCTAATGTTAGCTGCGTAGCAATAACTAAACTTAAATATAACTCCTTTAAGAATCTATATCAAAGTCAAGGTATCGATATCAATCCTGATATTGAACATTTTTGAACGATACCCAGCCCTGAGTGAAGGGGAGGTAGCCACAGCTTTTAGTCAACAACACCTATTAATGGGTACTTGTATTTTGTATAATGGCTACTTGTCTCTGTTAATTAACTGGGACCTAAAATAAACGTGACACATTTTCAAGTCTCCACAGCACGTTATCTGAACATTACTTTAAAGGCGAGTAACCAGTGAGCTTTTCTTTAGTCTAATGCTACAGGTTTGTTGGCAACACAGGGGACTAATGACAGGAAACATATTCTGTAGCCTTTCATGTGCATGGTCATAAAAACTTACATATACTGTATCTTATACCTTTTACACTTATCACACTGTGCAAACTAATCACAGAAGAACCTGGATGTAGATCTTATTGACATGTGAACAACCTATGAGCATTAACCTGTTTCCAACAAACAGCTCATGAATTACAGAGACCGCTCATGAAGACGACCAGACGTGTGATGGTCCAGATTCTGAGGGGTGGAGTGTCTCATCCTGACTGGACATTACCCTAAGAGGATCATGCATGAACCAAAGACTCACCCAGCTTTGACTGAGTTACTGCAGACACTACCAGTGACAGACTTAGCCCACCTGGCTGGAACCCTGGTTCCACCTAGCCTGGTGTGGTCTCACCTGCTTTGGTCTCAAAGGTGACAGGTTTGCTGCTGATGCTGTTGAGCTCATGGGAGTAAACCCTCAGATGATACTTGGCGCCCGCGATTAGATCCGCCACTGCAACGGGGGGTTGTTGATTCACTGGCACAACTTTCACCGTCTTGTCGCCTTGGAGACACAAGAAAAGGGCCAATCACACTCCGGGGGGTGTGGCCTTCATTCCACAGTAAAGCCTGTGCTTACTAGCAAAGGTCATAGCATCACAATGCTTTGCAGGGAGACTGATAGCAGGGTTACTGAAGTGAATTGAGACTGAACAATGCAGTGCCCATCCCCATCACAAAGACTCATCGACAGATGCACACAGACTTCAATATGTCTTCGAAGCTTGATTTCATTTTTCTTTTATGGCTCTGAGACCACATTTTCTCTCAAGGCAGAACTTTGAGCAGAGGAGCAGGTGTTCCCCCAGGTAAAACCTGCTCCTCTACATCTAACACTGACCTGTGAAGTGGCCACTCTGCATCACGTATGAACCAGGTGGAACTGAAACTGACCACTGCAGAACTTTCTCTGTTCTCATCAGGGGCTGAGGTGGCAAAGCATTGTTGGTCTCAATCATTCACAGGCCCACACTGCAACAACAACCTGCGTCTTTCTGGCAAAAAGACGCATCGGTCGGGGACATGGCCGAGCTTGAGGTGGCGGTGAGAGAGGGCAGCGCGAGGTGGTGACGTCATGCACCATGCTATCAACCACTGATTTCATCCAGCAGTGCTCATTCCAAAGCCATGCCATTTACTTCCAGCTGTTAAACCAGCCAAACAAAACGTCTGCCGCAGAAACAGGAGAAGACATGCCAGAGCGTTTTACTCAGTTAGTCAGTGAGTGCAGAGAGAAAGTCCAAGGCTGTATTATAAGTACAACTTTATGTTTTCAGGTTAATACAAGAACGATTCCAACAAACTCCAATTATTGTGACTCCAGAAAATCTTTTGACTGTTCAGACTTGACGTCTGTGTTCACTGCTAGTCATGCTACTGCTATTTAGCATTGTCTTTACACAGCGACTGATAATCTGAGGTGTGATCAGCACACCTGAGCCTTTTAACACCTGCTCAGGAATGTGATGGGTGGGAGCCTCTGTATGTCTATCTGTGTATCCTAATGTGACACATTTCAAATTCCAGTTTTCATCTTTTGTAGCTAAAAATTAAAAACAAATATATTGATATCAGATGGGAGGTGTACAGAGGCCCCAAGAGGCAAGTGATTAAAAAAAGAAAATTAAATCGACCACAAGAGGCTGAAGTGAACCACTACCTCTGTCTAAACCAGACTAAAAGCAGAAAAGAAAACCTTAGAAAAATCATCCTGGCAAAAAAAAAAAAAAAATACACTTGCCTTTCAGGACTTCATTTCAATATGCTTTTTGGAATGATGATTGTCAGGTGGACAATATTGCCAAAGTGTCATAGACAATATTTAATATTATATCTTACAGTTAATCTCTTTGTTTAACTGCATCACTTCAAGAAAAATGTATTTCATTGTGAGCAAATGGATTTCTCCAGATTTATGTACATGGAGAAGTGCCAGAATTCAAACAGTCACATGATAAATTCAGTATAATATACATTTCACCAGCACTAATAAGTCATGTCACTCTTTATTCTGCTACCCTCATTTTCTCCGTTCGTCTGACTGGTGCTATGCTCCTGTCAGTGACACTCTGACAGGAGCGGGAGTGGCTGAGCTGCCCGAAGAAGAATCTGTGCAGGAAATGTTTAGTTTTAGTTTGATGGCAGCTTAATGTTAAAGTGTGACATGACTGTTGTGCTGGGGAAATGTCCTTAATCTGGAATTTATCAAGACAACATGGAGGAAATTAAATTTAAATGTAATTTGCTGTTTGCAAATTAAAACAAACAGGGAGGAGCCTCACTATAATATGTTGGTGTTTATTTATAGAGCTGGCAAAATAGAAATGAAGGCATAAAAGCCTTTTTCAAATAATCCATAGCTGAGGCAAGTGCTGGCCATACTCTGAAATGCAAATCAAGCATTATAAGCAATATGAAGTTTATGTTAATCCAATATTAAAGTGTGAAAAAAATTTAAGATGCTCTTCCTCAAAACAGGTGGAGACATCAATAATTTTGTGAGAATAGGTTGGAATATTAATATGTAGCTGTGTGTGCATGTAAAATCTTTAGCACTCACGCCCACACAGTTATTCCCACTGTCTTCCCTTCTGACAAGATCTCTCGCTTTTCCATGACAGCTGGTCCCAGTTTCCTGGTCCCAGTGTCCTTCCCTCATGCCACCAGAGCATCATCCTTCATGAACCCTCCCCTGACAGAAATGCAGAGACTCGGAGCACAGAGGGAGAATGAAGGGATGATGGTGGGGGGTGGGGGAGGGCCAGGGGCTCCCTGTCTCTGCCCTAGAGTCAAAGCTTTCAGAGCTGACCTTGGAGAACAGGGGGTGGATGGGTGGGAGGGGTGGAGGCCATTAGATCAGTCTCATCGCCCCCCTCTCTTCCCTTCCTCTACCCACTCACAGTCAGACATCATTAAAAATTTAAGCCACTGCCCAAGTACATTAAAAAAGACATCCTCCCTTCTCTCTGTCCTCGACTACAGGTCAGACTGTTGAATTAGTGGAAGGGTCAGAGATTCTGGGAGTCCAGTAATGGAGGGACGATATGTTTTAGCAGAGTGCTTCACGCCCAATCCAAACCAAAAGCAAGTGAACATGGAAGTGTGAGCAGTGAAAAAGAAGTGACACATTCAGAGAGAGGAAGCTGAGCAGCTCCCTCACAGTGCCAGTCAGACAACAGCCATTGAAAGCCAGGCAGAGAAACCATCATGATGGTGGACGGCACAGGAGACATTATCATGATCAACATACAGACCAAAGAGAGAGAGAAAGAACACGAGAGAGAGAGTGGTGTGTTGTACCCTGATCCTTTAAGTGCAAATATCACAAAGGGTGATTAAAAAAAGAGCACATCAACTTTCCTTTCCTTTCTTTATTCTTTATGCTTTCGTCCTGTCAGAGTATTTTTTTTAATTGTCTCATTAGCAAAAGGTTTCCCTAAAAGAGCTCAGCAGAGAGGAACAAGGACATGTTTCAGTAAAACCTGAGGTCTAACTGAAGCCTGTTCATTATTTCACTGAACCTCCGTACAGATGCAGGAAAAACAGAAACTAATGAGGATTCCTGTGAGTGAAGATGCAGTGAACAGTATTTACTGTAAGAGCTGTAGAAGATCACTCCTTCGCTGTTAGGTTGCCATGAACAGGATTAAACTAATCTTTACAATATTAGCTCGGTAAAGCTGCTGTTTTGCACTCGGGGGCCAAACATGTTGCAATAACTGCCCTGGAAACAGCGTTGATGGACAGTAATCATCGTTATGCCGGCTCGCCTCTGTCTGCTCCTACTCTTAACCACTCTTGTCTGGTTTTCTCTCACTACTCTTTCAGGTCAGATCCAGCTCTGGGTTTTGGGAGCTCAGACTGGGCTTGCTCTGGTTTCTTACTGTCCAGTGTGAACTCTAGCACAAACTCGCTGCTGCCGGCCGGGAAGTTGTGTCTCCAGCTGACGTTAGTGTAGTTACTGTTAGGCTCCGCCGTCACATCCCAGATCTCCCGACCGGGGGCCACTACACAAGGGGGGTAAAGGGTTAAAGGTCAGAGGAAGGGGCCACACACAGGGCTTGATTTAGACCTATGCATGGTGCATTTGATCAGGATCAATGCCGATCATGGTCCGCTGAAAACCAGAAGTAAATTTGGAGGATTTTTTAATTCATGAAAAACTTAGTTGCAGTTTTTACTTTTGGTTTCAAGTGAACTCCAAAACTAATTCAAACTAAAAACTAGAGAACAAGGGTCTCAATCATAATCAGCCTCATCACTACAAAGTGTAAAATCAAGAACGTTACAGTTAATAAAAAATTAAAGTTTGGATTCTCACTTCCTGACCAGGAGGATGCTGCTGGCTACATCCCAATACTCTGAAGTAATTCCCCACTTTGAGTACAGCAGGTACAGCACAGCCTATCAGGATGCAGCCCTGATGTAGTTTCCTGTTTCGTCAGGTGGGAGAAGGCAATCGAGTTTTAACAACTACACACTACAAAGACAGTAAAAAGCCACAATGGGGCGACAGCTTGTACCCAACACGTTCTGATCTGTGCGCCTGGTGGTGATCGGCGCAGGAGGCGTGGTGGTAGTGGTCGCCTCTGTTGTAGTGGTGGTAGAAGGAGTAGTAGTAGTAGTAGTAGTAGGAGGAGGAGGAGGAGGAGCAGTAGTAGAAGAAGTCGTAGTTGGAGGAGTTGTGGTAGTTGAGGTACTAATGGTTGTAGTAGCGATGGTAGTAGGAGGAAGAGGAGCAAGAGGAGGAGTACGAGTGAGAGGTGAGGCCACAGGGGCGTCGGTAAGTTCGACTACAAGGGAGGAGGCGGGAGAGAGCAGAGGGTTAGACAAGGCAACAGGATCATCAAACAGGCAGACACACACTGACACACACCGACACACACTGACACACACCGTCACACACTGACACACACACACATTGACACACACACCGACACACACGCATTGACACACACCATCACACACTGACACACACCGTCACACGCTGAAACACACACACTGACACATACACAGACACACACACTGACACACACACTGAAACACACACCGACACACACAGCAGACGGTCAGTGAGCTGAAACACACAAGGCGTTGCCCACCAGCAGCTCTCATCCCTACACACACCTCACACCTGACACATCACATCAACAGTCAGTTTTCACTCCAGTGTTCTCATCTTCATCTCTGCTGGGATCCACACACATTTCACCATCATCACTGAGCTGCAAAGACTGAGCTGCCGCTGCCACCAAGACGACGGATGCTGACATTACACGTCTGTCACACTGTTTCTATGAAGAGGATTTAGATTTAGAAAACCCCAAACTAATGACTTCATTTTATTTCATCATCGTGTTTAGCTGCATTTAAAGGGCCAGTGCACATGAAGTCAGATTACTCATCACAAGGGGTCTACTCAGGTCTACACAGAAAACTGACCTGACTTTTAGAGTATGAGAGTATGACCCCTTATTGCATCATCAAGTGATACCTTGGTGATGATGATGGCATCTGGGGTTACCTTGGTTTCGACTTAAGAGACCACAGCTGTGTCTCAATTCAGAGGCTTCATCTTACAGAGGCTGCATCACAGCGGTGCGACAAGACTGTCCCATGGCAAAAGCTCCTTCAAATGCATCCTTCATTTCCTGGGCAACAAAAGATCCAAAGGGTGGATCCTTCGCAAGCCAACCTATACCAAGACTCATTGTGCGACAGTGGTATGTGATATAATAAAGCAGAATCTGCAACTAAAGAAGCGGACAAGGATAGACCAGACTGTCTCATTTCAGTTCAGACTTCAGATGGTCTTCGGTGGCCACGCCTCTGTAGACTGTGTCCTTCGGAGGATGCGGCCTCAGTTGGGACACACTGCACAACTTTAAAGCAAAAGCTTGTGTTACAAACTGTGGAGTCAAAGAACAAAGAGGATCCAGCATTTTTTCCAAATTGACCCACACTAGGAACTAAAAGTCAGAACATCTCAAACTCTGCTGCTTCCACTCTGAAGTCCCTGACTTTATGGAAGTAAGGAACTAAATTGTGGGGCTCCTCCACAAGTTCTGTCCCTGCTTGGTATTGAGCTAAAAGAGCTCATGTAATCCAGTTTACAGATGCTTCTTTCACACACATCAGGAAGAGGCAACATGTCACATTTCATCCAGTGTCTGTCATTAATGACTGATACGCTCTTTGTGGCAAACACAATCTTCTCCACTTCTTGACCTTTTTATCTGTTTCGTAGGATTTTTGCAGGGGGTCCTATAAAGCAGTGGTTCTCAAAGTGGGGTCTGGGGACCCCCAGGCGATCTTGACGAGGGTCCTTGGTGTCCCCAGGAAAAAGTGGAGTAATTTATTTTCACTATAATTCCATCCATAAGTAACACAATGACAGAATGTATGACTATTTTGGTTTCAAACACTTGTAATCACTCAGTAATAAAACATCTAAAAGCAACAATCTCAGGAGGTCTTTGGAATGACGTGTCAGTTTAGGGTCCTTGATGTGAAAAAGTTTGAGAACCACCAGGTGTTGCTTTAACTTGTAATTTACAAATTTTCTGCCATGTTCCCCTTTGACAACATTGAACTCTGAAGGTGTTTGGTTTCGAATGTGAAATGAACTGAAAGGTTTTTAGAGAAACTAAAACTTGGTCCTTGGTCTTATCTCTGTTTTTAACACCAGGACCCTCCTCAGGTTGGAACCAGCACTTTCTTTTCCACTGACGTAAATGTTGTTCACTCTTACTGTACCTGGGAGTTGAGGTCATCTCCAGCCAGTGAAGGATCCCACTACCAACGTCCCACCCCAAACATTTCCCTCATACAACCCCTCCCAGGCTGCATGCTTGTATCACTAGGCTGGAGGTCAAGCATGCCCTCAGACCAAGGTGCTAGGGACAAATAAAGTGGGAGGGGACGATGAAGACATGCGTTCAGGAGCCATTACTGCCCAGTAAGATTGGCCACATCAGCCCAAAGACTCAAGCCAGTTTACCTGTAACTCCCAGTATGAACGACTGACTGAGTGAACAAGCGATGGGTAAAGATGGCGGAGTGACATGACTGCTGGAAAAGCATGATGGAGCCAGTGAATGAGCAGCAGAGTGCTGTTTGTTTGTCCTCATCAGGTCACATCATTCATCAACACGTTTCATCACCTCCATCACACACAAACTCACACACAGAGCAGCGTCGTCATGACAGTGTGTACAGTTAGTCGCAACACAAGAAGGACTTGTGTCTGATAGCAGACAGGAGGTGAGGCTGTGAGAGTGTACTGTCAGCGACTGGTGCAGAAATCAAGAGGCTCTACAGCATCTGTCAGAGTGAGTGTCAGTCATATGATACCACTAATTTAGAGCAGCCCGAGGGCCAAAACTGGCCTGCCAGCAATAATATCTGGTCCGCCAGATTATTTATATAGTATATTGAGTGAATGACAGACACAGACAGTCACATCAGTCAGTGCACAGCCTGGTACTAAAATAAATGGCAGCAACAGTTACCCACAGAATCACTTCCTCTTTAGCAAGTTTGCCTACAAAATAAAAGTGTGAGAATATTTGTTTTGTTTTTGTTTCAAGCTATTGTGAGCTTTAATTCTGAAAAGTTCTCACAGAAAGCTCTGTTGCTTGATTGACAGACCTCTGAAATAGCAGAGGTACAATGACATACAACGTGTGATGTGAAAAAATAGCACCAGTTCAGTAAATCAGTCAAACATACAATATGTGACTGTGGGCCACAGCTCCACATGTGAACAGTAACAAAGTAGATTAGAACTGCATTCAATCAATGTCATAAATTAGTGTTAATTAGTGTAGAAAAAAAACCCAAGGCCAAACTGACCTGCTGTCAGATACTGAGCTATATCACTAAACATGTAAATCACAGACTAACCCACAGTGTTTGAAGTGTTTACTCAATCTCTGACAGAACACATCAACAGACAGACAGCAGTTCAACACAAAGAGGAAAGATGGAGGGATGAGGAGAAGCAGACGTACAGATGAGAAAAGAAAGAAAAACAGTGTAGACAGCAAGAGCAGTTCAGCGGGAGCACAGTTACAGCTTCACACCTGTTGTCTGGTCAATGTAATGATGGGGGCTTATAAAGACTGGGTAACTTGTAGTGGGTATTTATTATTATGTTTGACATGATGTGATTGATCATATACATTACAAGTACTGCATATTTACACACCACTGATAGTTTGACAAACCAGCTCAAGGTCGCCACACCAGGTGATTTCTGCATCACTGACCGTGACAGCAGAGAGAGACATGCAGCATATGAAATGCAATTTTAATCAACATTAGATAAATAAATACATACATACATAAATAAATACAGCTATGAAATAAATCCTGAAATAAATAAAAAGCTTATTTATTTATTTATTCACTTATATATTTATATTTACATTTATCTGTATATTTCGATTCATTTAATAGCTGTATTTATTTATTTATTTATCTAATATTGATTAAAATGGCATTCCATAGCAGCAATAGGCATGTGCTCTTCCAGCTGAGCTACCACTTACTGGCATTTGTAGGAGCTTTTGAGTGTATCACACAGTCTTCATTATGTTATAGCAGCTAGTCCTTGACATATATAATAATATGTAACAACTGACACTGCACCTCAACAACTAATGAAATTCATTCCACTGTTGAAGGACTGTGTGATGTGGTTGAAAGCTAAAGAAAAAGCAAGTCAGTGGACATTTAGTCGGAATTGTTTTATCCTCTGCAGTGTCAGCGATCATAGTAACTGACTTCTGAAATCATGGTTGTTGTTGTGTTAACTCGAGTTTTAGAAGATCTGCCACTCATTGTAGTGTCACTAGGATCTGGATCTGGATCTGGATTATGGATCTGGATTCAAGTTTTTAGTGTCAACTTTAAAAAAAACAGGTTGAAATTGGTCATTAAGCCTCAGCTCTGCTAAGCTGCAAGAGTTAATATCCAGTCATAAGCCACGTTTTGACCAAAAAGTAGAACTTAAAGTTCCGGGTACTTTTCTTCAGGAACTAAAAGGTTCCTGTGGCCCATTGCTGTCTGCGTTTCCACCGCGGCCTAAAGTCCCGGGAAGATTATGCAAAATCATTACCTGACATTACATTATCCACAGCACTTAGAGGACATAACATGAACGAAAGTACGGGACAAATAGTGTCCCTGTATATTCACCCAGCATTTAGCATTTTTTTTTTCAAACATGGGACGATCCCGTATTATAAGTGACGGGTGGCAACCCTCGTCACTCCGGTTGTTGTGGTCCTTTATTTTTTTGAAGTCCTGTTTCAGATTTTGTAAATTCTCCTGGACCTGTTTCACGGTGTGGAAAATGTGTTTGCTGCAGACTTTTAAACATGGTGGGTGAAATAAAATGCAGCGAGTACTCGACCAGTCAGGAATATTCAGCACTGCAGACCACACCCCCAAAGCCCCTGAACCTTTGGAAAGTTCTTCCCCCCATCCAGGGACTTTTTTCGGGGTCGATCAGTTACCACGGAACTAAATTTAGACCCAGGTTCCTGCGGTGGAAACGCACATAGTTCCTCAAAAGGTTCCTGGTTCCTGTGGTAAGTTCCTGCGGTGGAAATGCAGAAACACGTAACTGACACTCACACACACACACTAGTATGTTTACACACTCAGGTCTTGTTCACACTGTATCTGTAAATGTACTGAGACTGTAAAATACTATATGATGATGATGATACTACATCTTGAATATGAGAGCTGGGGGTTGGGTTGCCACCCGTCCTGGATCGTCCCGTATTTGAAAATAAGATGCGGGACAAATTGCGTCCCGTATTGATTCAATACAGGACGCAATTTGTCCCGTATTTTCATTCATGTTATCTCCACAAAGTGCTGTGAATAATGTAATGTCAAGTAAAACCAAAGCAGTTACAGCCTCCAGTGAGCAACAGACTGACAAGCTCTGTGTGCTGTGAAAAAATGCAGCAGACAGCAGTATGGCACTATGGTGGTTTACCAGGTAGAGCACATGTGATTAAGGCTTAATCCTAATCGCAGTGGCCTGGGTTCTCCCTGACTTTCCTCTCTAATATTAATTGGAAATCAGCATTAGGCTACATTTTGTTACCCTTGATATTTTCGTACTTTTGGGTTATAAGCACATGAGTGTGTATTTGCATTTTGAATTGTCAAAAAATGGGTTGGGTGGGTCCCTTATTTCTTCACATGAGAAGTGGCAACCCTAGCTGGGGGTTAGGGTCAAAACAGATTCAACAGCTCCCTCTGCTGGTGACCAGCGGGAGCTGCAGGGTGTGGTGCACCATGAGGGTGAACTGCTGCTGCTCAGTGTTTAGACAGACACATACAGAGGCAGAGGATGAGGGTGGGGGGAAGGTGACAGGCAGACACGCTGTGCTTCTCATTCCCATTTACCTAGAGCTGTAGTGTTAGTAAAGATGTCTGCCAACAGAGAGAAGAGGAGAGACAGGAGACAAGGGAAACGGGTGAGAGGGACAGAGGAGGACAATACTTTCCACCTCACCACTGATGGTATCATTTATTATTCTGTGTTTAGAAATCAGTCTCATCTGAACTACTTTCTGCTGAAGAATTAGTCCAAATATAAACTTTTCATAGTGAAAAGAAAATAAAGTGATGAAGGTGTTTTCCATCACTGTGAGACATTCAGGTGACTATCTGGTGTGTATCTGTAAACCTGTAGAGGTGAATATGTGTGAACGGACTCTTCAAACAGCCCGTCAGCTCCAATTTTACTCTTGACAACAAAATTACAAATTACTGCTGTAACTCCAGTGTAGCCATGAGACACTAGAGAGTGTGTGTGTGTGATACTGTCCATCAGAGAAACACCAGATGCAAAAATGATGCGTACACACAGGAACGTGTGTACACCATTTCCCGCTCATAAACTGGTCTTTACTAACCTCACACATTCCTTTGACCATGTGAACACACAGTTTTCCAAAGTGATCCAAGTCACAGTGAAGTGAAAATACTAAATAAACCAAAACACAAACCAACTTCCCGGAGCTTCATTCATGATCACATTATAAGTTTTACTGTCAACACAGCAATAACATGTTTACATTTCATAAACAGAAATCACTGTGTTTGTGCTCAGTGTTTCCTTCAACATCATTTAATATTCTGATTATTTATTGTGAGTCATTCTGTAACTGTTTGATATTTAGTTTGAATATTGACTACTCACAGTGTTGGAGCCTGTCTGGAGTATTATCACTAAGACTCTCTAGTCCCAAATGAAGTTCAGAGTGAAACAGGACTTTACATCAGAGTGATTGTACCAAAGTAAACTGATGATGTTTTTACCTCAGTTTCACAATCAGTGAAATTCTTCCTCTTCCTCGTCTTTCTTCTCTGTGTCGGATCACTTGTGGCACAGACAGTGTTTTTATACAAACTGATGGATTAACTGAGGGTCTTCATCCATTTATGGCTAACTGTGGGGGTGGAAACGAGGCTCGTGCACCTGTGTGCAATTAATAAAGTGGAACCATGCGAACGCACAGCTTCATAAGGTTTTGTGTGTACACATAGTTTTAGTCATGAATCTAGAAAGTTTTACGCATCTGACCCCTGGTGATTCTTTTCTTTCTCCGTCCGATACCCTGACAAAGATGCCTGTGTTACAATCTCTCTCTCTCTCTCTCTCAAAACCAGACTCATAATGAGGCCATAATCGAACCAACCTAGTTCCCATGTAGGGAAAATGGCTAAAGTGAAGTTAAGGGTAAATTTCAAGCCGATTAGTGCAGTGAAAAGGCCAACATTCAGTCTATATTACTTTCACTGTGTCTGTGACTCTTAGCCCAAAGCCCAGTGGTTGCTACTGTAGACATAAATCTTTAAAAATGCCTCACAAATATATATTTTCATTTTTTTTAGTTCTAAGAAAGATCATTTAGGAGGAAATAATGCATTTGTTGGGACTATTTTCAGCAGCAGATTAACCCACATTTGCTGCTTTGGTGAGTATTTCCAGCAGCAGGACAATGTGTGTATATATGTGTGTGTGTGTGTGTGTGTGTGTGTGTGTGTGTGTAATGAGTCAGAATAAACTGCAGTGTGTGTGATCATGGTGATGAAGGACCATGTGTAACACTCACTGATGTGTTTTTATAGTTTGTGGAAACAGTGGAGCTCTGAGGCTCAGAGGAAGAGGAGACAGTGGGCTGTAGATACGCACACAGACCTGCTGCAGGATGAGTTCATTGTTGACAGTAAGAAAAATATGGAATTATGCCTTTTCATTTAGAATCAATGGCTGAACATATAGGAAGAATGGTGGGCAACAATTTAAACTTGAAACAGCAGGCAGCAAGTGCAGTGATGTGAGAGAGGTAAGTGTACTTTGTTTCATTACTTCTTTCTCCAAAAAAAATGCTGCGGTGTATAGTACTGAGAGAAATGCTGTACATACACTCAGTTGTCAGTTTATTAGGAACACCTACAGGGCTTAAACTAATGAAGCCTAATCTGCCAATAGTCCTGTAACAACTCCTCCATTTATTTGTTGTTATGTGGAAAAACTGGTGTAAAGACACTCACCCTCTGTGAAGTGTGGTGACTCTTCAGCAAAGTCCTCCCCTGTTCCTATCCGTGAGATTGCCGACAGGTAGAACCTGTAGCGGGTGGATCGGTCCGGCAGGCGGAGGGTGAAGTTCGTCACGTTAGGAAGAAACGACTCTAGCTGTAGGCGACCTCCCCTTGAGCCATTGACTACACACACAAATACACACACACACACACACACACACACACACACACACACACACACAGTGCCAGCTTGCTATCAGATGTACAGTATCATAATGCTATCATAATATAATATATATCATTATGTAATATAATGATATATATTATATTGTCATAATACCACTGCACTATTATCATATTTTTTGTTGTAAGATATATCACTATTACATTGACAGGATATCATAGAAATGATTATATTTTATTATTATTATTATTATTATTATTATTATTATTATTATTATTATTATCATTATTACTACTACATTCTTTCTACAAATATATTCAGGTTACATCATACATTTCCATTATACATGCCACTTTCTCTGCCCCATAACACACACACATACACATATACATAACATACATATGATTACCTCCCTTTAAAACATCGAAACACACACACACACATACACACATTACTCGCACAATACACATCATATTCTTATCATGCTTACGTTTCTATAAATGTTTTGGCTTTTTGCTGTCATCTACATGTCCCTCCATTATGTCCTATGTACCCTTCATGTCACACCTGTTTTTGTTATGTTAAGTTACCAATAAAGGAATTTAAAAAAAAAAAACTAGAATTACCGCCTCTGGGTTAAATCCCTCCTCCAC